ATTCCATCAGAGAGAATATTGTCTTATATATGACAATTGTCTTCTGATTTGGTCTTGTGTGTTTAATTTTACCTGTTGATATTTTCTCATCGGAACAAACCAGAAATACTTGGTATAACCAAGTCAACAAATTTATTTTTTTTTATTTCTTGCTGACCATCATTCCTTAAACTGAGTTGGATGAACCACAATTCATACATCCCTGAAAATGCAGATTTAGAGAGCTCTCTCAGAGAAGAGAAAGCAAGTTTACATTTTCCAGTGGATCCCATTTGTGAGAAAATGAACAGAAGTTGTCAGATATATTCCCAAAAATCAATAAGAAGCATTTTGACTAACTCAGAATTTCTAGGAACTTGGCAGTTTTTCTGAGAAGACTTTAGTAATGAGGGATTCCTTTCCCATTCATCTTCCTGGAAGATAGGAAGCCAATAGCCTTATTGATCAGGATGTATTCTGGGATCCTTACCTTCCATGAGAACACAAAGTGCCGGTGAAACCAGCAGAGCTCTGCTCAGCAGGGTCGAGAGTAGCTTTTGTGCAAGAGCTGTCTTTGCTTGGCTTAGTATGAGGCTCCAGGGACCAATAACAAGCCTTTCATGTCACTCTTGGTGAAGCTCCTTGTGCTCACCCTGCACTTCTCCTTCTGAGCAAGTTACCATTAGAAGTTAATGCTTTCCCTCTGGTGCTTTTTACACATTCATCTATCACAGAATCATTTTACCAGACAATTATGGAAAAAATGGATATCAAATTATTCCCTGTCTCCTGGACTGTTTTTTTTTACCAGTTTTGTTATATCTTTGAAAGAACATACTCTTTAAATTTAATTTAAATGTGAAATTTTCACATTAATTTCTGATCATTTCTGATCTTCTATGCATAAGGACTTGAGTAGAGGATGCTGACACCCTGAGCTGTCCGGCAGAGTTGTAGCTTCTTTAAGTGTCAGTCATGAACCTCTCTGCATATGGCAACTCCCTCACAAATGATATGGTGGAGACCGTTATTGATTTGGTCTTGTTCAGGCAGTAACCCAAAGCAGAGGACAATGTTGAATTTCAGCAATTCACTAAAAAAGCCCTTCTAATCAAGGGAATGAGAAGAAGTGAGGAGACAGAAATATTAGGCCATCATAGACTGAACATCACTGTAAGGTCAACAGGTTGACACAGGCTGTCTTTTAGGGTACAGGTGATTAAGAGAGAAGAAATGGATTGTAGAAAGCAAGAGAAACATAATGGGAGAGTGAGGCCTGTCCCTTGGACACTGATGCATACGGAAAGACATAAATCTAGTTACTATAGAGAAAATAGATACACATGAATTCGGGTCGGTGGCTGCTCTGGCCGTGGTTATATGCCTGATTTCTTAAGTCAAATCTCCTACGAAGTTATTGTCAGTATGGGATATTCTCTCCTTTCTCTTTTGCTCCTGAGCCCAAAAACTCCCCTACAAGGTAGCATTTTTCCCTCCATCATGGTATGTTTCATGAATTCATGTGGCATTCTTGCAGTAAGAACACTTAAATTACCTCTGAGCATTCAATTATTAGCACAAACACTGCTAAAGCAAGCCTCACCCCCAGCCATTAGCCCAGAAAACATCTGTTCTGCTTGTCGTTGGATGAGGTCTGAAACCCAAAACCACTCCTCAGCCCAGAACCCAGCTTACTGCCTGCCTCTGACTGTTCCCTAAAGAGGATTTATCTTCTTCTGAAAGCTCCTGCTAGGACTCTCAAGACCATCACCAAGCTGCTCCACTAAAGGGTTAAACAGATGAAAAGAGTCATGTCAGCTTGGTCTATGACCTCACCATGAGCTTTTTAAGCTTCCACATTTGTCTCAAAAAGAGTCTTTAAATAATCAGGTTTTGCAGCCTTTTTTTGAAGCTATTTTTATTCTCTGAGCCAGAGAATACAAAGTCGAGAATGCAAACTGATGCAGTTACAGACTGAAATCTTTCAGCTGCATCCACGTTCATCTTGTTTGTTGTGAAACCAGAAAGCACCTCGCTACAGGCAGGCTACAGTGGCTCCACTGAGAGAGGTATCCTTTTCTGTCGCTTTATGATGGCATTTTATTTACAATCTTTAATGAATCTTTTGCTGAGATAGAGAAGAAACGGCTGATAAAGAAAGAGGAATTAAGCAATTAACATGCACTTCGAAGACCAGTTCTGACTCTCTTGTTCCACCTTCTCAGCAGTATCTGGGTTGTGAACAGGTTATTGGCCTACATACCCTTTGCTGTGCTGAGGGCAGCTCCCTTCTGAGGGAGGCTGCTGGAAAGGAGAGAAGTTTCTGTAAAGAAAGCAAGTGACTTTGAAGTGTTGTGTCCAAACTGCTGGCACAGAAATAGACACCTGAATGGTTCATCTTCACAGACAAAATATCCAGATTGAAGTTTTCCAGGGTTATCCGGTTAGCTTTGTATCCAGTGGGAATGTCACCCTCTTGTTGCAGGTTTGCACCATAGGAATAATAGATCAATTGCAGCCCCTTCCCTGGCTGCTGCCGATACCAGTACATAGAATCGTGATTATTATTTTGGCTGCACGTCAAAGTAGCTTTCTCATCTTCTTTCAGCACAAGGCTTGAGGTCTGGGTGATTTCAGCTCCTGTAAAGACAAAGCCAGAGGAAACCAGAATATAGTAAGGGTGCTACGTTCTCCCAGCAGCAGAGCAGGTATCGTGGCTCTACTGATTCCTTACTTGCTCCCAAGAAGTACATGGCCACGCACCAAGCTGTCCACATCCTCATTTCTGCCTCAGCAGTCAGTGAGCGTGCCCCTACAAGGGACTTATATAGGTCCATTTCATGGGTTTCTCTCAGACCAATAGCAGAGATCTCTGTAACAGCCAAATTGATGCTGAAAACCAAGCTCCTTCCTGCAGGAAATGTCAAGCAAACTCTTTGTTTGAGGTGTGTCTGTTGAAAACACAGAGAAAGCTTCATACTGGCTCAGGGGGAAGTTTTTCTTATTCTGTCAGACAGATTATTGTCTTATATATGACCATTTTGTTTTGATTTGCCTGTGTGTGTTTAATTTTACTTGTTAATATTTTGTTTATAGGACAAACCAGAAAATATTTGGTATAACCAAGTAAAGCGAGGTATTATTATTGCTGACTGCTGCAATTTTTTTCTGGAAAATGAGCAAATACAATACTTATGCTTAGTCCTTAATTATTTTTACTACTTCTCCACCTCTTAGAAACAGCATGCATGACCTTGTTTTGGGAAGAGCTTATATGGGCCATGATTGTGTCCTTGTCTCACAGCAAAATGAAGGAAACTTGGGTTCATCCTGAAGCAAACACCTAAGTCTTCTTTTC